ATGCTGCTATTAATAATGAATGTCTATAAACCTGTTTCAATTTAGATATATCAAAAGTAAATTGATGTGTTTAATATTGGCATACTTTAACAATCTTTAATTAATCAAATTTAGTGTAAAAATATGGTTAATTGAAATACATCCTACAAAATAACTAACTAAGTCTAATATTTAACTTAATGATCCATTTAAAATAAATTCTCTGGCAACTGAACATGTACATTTAATAATCAAATGTATAATAAGTTTGCAAAGTTTTTATTTTTAATTTGAAATTGATATAGGTATGAGTTATCTGTCCGGGTATTTTTTAAATATTAGAGATATTTTTCAAAATCTGATTTATTAATATCTAATATACTAATATGTATCCAAAGCAACAAATGGATAATTATTGTTGGTAATAATTTGTGAGCTCAAGAAATTGACTGAATTATAAAGCCTTCAATAATTAGTTGGTAGTTCTAATATCCGACAGTTGGGACCGGAAATTGTTATTCGAACAGGTAGAATGATCGTCTATTTTAAACCGGTATAAGGTAAATTTATTCTTATTTCAATTTTCGGTGTCATACGAACAGATATACCTCACACCTACATGTACAATGGTGAGTTTGTACTATTGTTTTAAGTAACACTTTAAAATTTTTTTTTTTTTTTAAATACCCTTACAGATAACTCATACCTATATCAATTTCAAATTAAAAATAAAAACTTTGCAAACTTATTATACATTTGATTATTAAATGTACATGTTCAGTTGCCAGAGAATTTATTTTAAATGGATCATTAAGTTAAACATTAGACTTAGTTAGTGATTTTGTAGGATGTATTTCAATTAACCATATTTTTACACTAAATTTGATTAATTAAAGATTGTTAAAGTATGCCAATATTAAAACACATCAATTATTTACTTTTGATATATCTAAATTGGAAACAGGTTTATAGACATTCATTATTAATAGCAGCATATTTTATGAAACTAGATAACTTAACTTACAGTATTGAGAAACAGAAGAAGAACTGTCACATGCATAACCTACATTTGTCAAAATTTACCACTAAAATCTAATAGATTCAACAATAAAAAACTCATTGTGCCCAAGACTATGATGTAGTGCTTTATAATCCTTCCCCCTTTTAAATTTAATGTTTGTTTCGTTCCTTCTAAGTGTTTTCTGTTTTTAGTGTGTTTAAATTATCCATAAGTGTTTGTATTTTACCATTTTATTCATTTTATTCACTTGACCATTCCAATAATTAACTCATTGCCATTAGAACTTTATCAAAGTAATTTGATTAACTACAGTTTGGAAATAATTGCAACACCCACACAATTTTACATCTACACTTTTTCATTGTCATAATGTCACCTTCATAAAACAATTACTCAATAAATAACACACATTTCAAAAATATATCTCTGGAATAAGTATAATATACTTTTAATAACACAATAATATATTACACCACTTACATTTAACAAAACAATCTCACACATATCTCAAATTCATTGGATCAAATCTACCTCCTCAAGAACTTCCCGTTTACTGTCAAACAACTGCAATAATAGTATTGAGTTCTCCATTCAACATATATACAGTAGTTTCAAACATGTTCTACCATCCATCTATTAATAGAGTACCGGCATGTAAGTAATTTATTTTATTTCATTTATTTATTTGCTCATTCATTAATTTATTAACAATAGAAGAGATTTTATGACAATTTGTGGGCCTTACCTTGTCCTTTTAACTTTTTTAAAAAATATTTATTAACTTTTATTTAACTCAATCATTTAAATAAAACCACAGACAGGTAATATGGCATAATTATTGTAATTTATAACATCTAATTTGTTTATCTTTATTAGACAACACCCTAATATGGGTTTTTATCATTTCAGCATTTGTTTAACTTTGTACCGAGACCTGAAGATGCTTTGCATATTGTAGAAGCGAAACGGTCGTCGGATAGTTAAATTAAATTGATTGTGAGTAAGTCTTATTTATTATTTCTTTACATTTATTGACGTTTCAATTTCCACTTCGGAAATCGTATGAGTTAACACTGGACTGGGTTAAATACACAGACGCTTTTAAGAAAATCAGAAGATAGAGACGAATTTGCAATGGTTATAGCGAACCTTCATTAGTGAAGAAGGCACTAAAAGAACAAGAGGGGATTTTTAAAAATAATTTATTTTATTTATAGCTTGTCTAATTTCACTAAGAGTTATTTCTGGCATGAGTTCGGAGCATTGATTTAGTATTGTTTTGCTTATTGCATCTTGTAGCTATGTTTGGTTCATCTGGTCTGCTTTTATAAAGTTCTCCATAGAAGTCTTCTACTATTGTTCAAAACACCTCTATATTTGTTGTTATTTTGCCCTTTTGTTTTTTAATTTAATGATCTGACTTTTTTCATTCTTTAGTTTTCTTCGCAGACGTTTTAGGCCTTTATTATTTTCTATGGTTTGTTCGATCTTTAGTGTATTGTACTTTCTTAAGTCTTTTCTTATTGGTTTCTTGACTTCTCTGTTTATCTTTCTCTTTTGCTCTCCATTTGGATAATTTCTTTCTGTAATAAGATTTCTTTGTTTCGTTAAATTTCTGGTGTCGGTACTAAGTTTTCTTCATTTTTATTTCTGGGACAGTGTTTGTAAAATGATACTCTAAAACAAGAAAATAACTAGTATATTAGAACAAAAAATGAAGTTAACATCAAGCAAAGAGGAAAGTACTGAGGAAAACTGGACAAGAATTATAGACATCTTAAAGACTGTTCAAGAAACAAAATTGAGTGCGCTAAAAGCAAGAAAAAACAAGAGTGGATGACAGAAGAAATACTGAGACTTATGGATCAAAGAAGAGAAGTCAGAAATAAAGATAAAAACGAATACAAGCGGATCCACGCAATAATCAGGCAGAAGATAAGACACGCGAAAACACAATTTCATAGTAAAGAATGTAATAAAATTGAACAATATGAAAAGAAACACGATACATTTCATCTGGACAAGAAATTAAAGAGGTCACTAGAAACAAACGGAAACAAGTGTCCCAAAGTTTAGAAGACAGAAACGGACACAGAATATTAGACATCATGAAAAGTTAAAAGAATGGGAAAACTATATTTCTGAATTATTTGAAGATGAGAGAGTAGAACACTATACACCGATTGCTATATCAGGTCCATCTATAACAGAAAGTGAGGTAAGACGTTCAATACAAACGGAAAAAATGGAAAAGCACTTGGCCCCGATGAAGTAAGTGCTGAAATACTAAAGTTTTTGGGAGAAAATGTAACTAAAGCTCTGTGTAATCTCTTTAACAGAATTTATGACACTGGGATATTACCAACTGATTGGTTAAAGTCGACATTTGTCACAATACCTAAGAAACATCGTCCAAAGACATGCGGTGATTATCGGACAATAAGTCTGATGAGTCACGTTTTGAAGATCTTTCCTGCGAGTAATACACAGCAGAATTTACACGCTGTTAGAGGACAGAATTAGTAATACTCAATTTGGGTTTAGGAGTGGCTTGGGTACAAGAGAAGCCTTGTTTAGTATACAGGTGCTAGTACAGAGATGCAGAGATATAAATCAAAATGTGTACATTTGTGCAATCGATTTTGAAAAAGCTTTTGACAAAGTCCGACATAACAAAATGCTAGAAATATTGGAAAAGCTGGATTGGACGATAAAGATCTACGAATAATTACAAATCTATACTGGCATCAAGTGGCAAGAATAAAGGTTGAACAAGAACTGTCGGATGAAATAAATATAAAAAGAGGAGTGAGACAAGGCTGTATATTGTCGCCTTTACTTTTTAACTTATATCGGAGGAAATATTTAAGGAAGCCTTAATGGAGACAACCGAAGGTATTATTGTGAATGGAGTAACCGTCAACAATATTAGATATGCCGACGATACCTTAGTCCTTGCCAATTGCGGAGAAGACCTTCAAAATCTAATGAACAAAATAAAACAGACTTGTGATCAGTATGGATTAAAACTCAACGTTAAGAAAACTAAATATATGATAGTTAGCAAACAAAATTATATACATGATGACGGTATAAAAGTCGGAGATGCCACACTGGACAGAGTAGAGAAACTCGTGTATCTCGGCAGTAATATCAATGAGAGCTGGGATCCAACCGCAGAAATTAAAAGCCGAATAGAACAAGCCCGAGCTGCCTTTGTAAAAATGAGAAACGTACTTTGCAGTCACGATCTTAGCATTGACCTTAGAGTTCGTATGACATCTTGCTACATCTTTCCTGTCCTGCTGTATGGAGTGGAAGCGTGGACTCTAACTGAGGCTATGCTTAAACGCTTGACAGCCTTTGAGATGTGGGTATACAGACGACTACTGAAAATAAGCTGGGTCGACAGAGTTAGAAATGAGGAGGTCCTTAGACGGCTGAACCAAACAACACAACTGGTCAATATAATAAAGAAACGCAAGCTGGAATACTTCGGTCACATTATGAGACACCCTGAAAAATATGATCTTTTACATCTGATCATTCAGGGAAAGATCCAAGGTAATCGTGGTCCTGGTAGAAGAAGAACATCATGGCTGAAAAATCTAAGGCAATGGTATGGAAAATCAACTACATCGTTATTTAGAGCTGCTGTCAATAAAGTCACGATAGCGAATATGGTAGCCAACATGATATCCAACGATCGATAACGGTCATGGAACTAAAAGAAAAATAAGAAGAGGTTTTCTCATGATTTCTCCAATGGCTTGCGTAATATGTTGGTTTAGTGCATCTTTGTTTTCATTGAGAGTTATGTCTGTATTGTTTCTCAGTTAGGTTTCGATGTCGCTTTGATATTCTTTAATATCTCTAGATTGGGTCCATATTGGTATTGTTTTCGTATTTACTAATTGCATCTTTCCTTTTGGTGCTTATTTTAACTTCTGCTCTTACAATTCTATGGTCTATTCTTATTAATATAGAACACATTTTTTAGAACATGATGGTTTGTTCATTGCAATATTCGCGACTGAACCGGGTTAAACACACAGACGCTTTTAAGAAAACAGCAGATAGAGACGAATTTGCAATGGTTATAGCCAAACGTTCATTAGTGAAGATGCAATAGCAGAAAAAGAAGAAGTAGTAGAATATCTCTTTAAAAAATGATCCAATTGGACAATTACCAATTCATATCATGTCAATAACTGGAACAGCGTGGCCAATATCTGGTTTATTTGCACATTTACAAAAAACACACATGTAAAATACTTTCAGATATGAAAGATAAATATTTCAGTGTCAATGTCAAAACATTTCAAAGATAAATCGACGTGTTATCTTTAAGAGGCCAATAACTGGTGCTTTTACTGTACAAATCCAAAACAAAAGAGTTGTTTTTAGAATGTATTGTACAGAAAGGGTAGTTTAATATCTGTCGAGATTATAATCTAAATGCACTTTTATTTCGGTTCGTTTCGCCAACTTTTAAAAGCCATTAAACTTATCTATTTCGTTTATTTTTCGAATTTGACTTAGTCCCATTTAAAAGCTATCACTATGTCGGCCTTTTTCGTGTTTTATACGTCGCACTGATATAAAAACCTAAGAGTATACCTAAATAAGAACGGCTCATAAAAGATAGCAGTAATATGTTCATAAAAAACAAAATGAACTGAGCGCCTGCCTTGTACTTTATCACAACTGGTATGCCTTAAAATATGTAGTCAGAAATAAGTTGATTTTATTAACGTTTCCAGAATTTTTATCTTTAGACGCTGAGAATTTCGGCTGACATAAAATTGCTTCTAAAGAAAAATGCCGAGATAACCCGTATACACGTTTAATAAGTAGTTGTTTTATAATCACCGTCTACTTTACGGAAAACTCGCTAGCTAAAAGTTCGCATTTTTAATATAAGCTTTTCCATAAAACACTCCTTGTAAAATGAAGAATATTAATTTTCAACTAATGCGGATTAAAACATCAACATTCTAGAGCAATTATTTAGTCTTTTTCTCAAAAATCATGTAAAATTAGCAAAACTATTGCATTAAGTGACAGGATAAGTCACTTTAGTTGTGCTATGCCATTAAAAGTAGAGTGATTGTAAACAGAACGAAAATAATTATCTATTCTCTTTAATTTTAACACTAGGGGAGTTTAAAAACAGGGTCGGCTTTTCCGATGGAATTTCTGAATCTAAAGCGCAAGGAAAATTGTTTAATTGCAAAACAAATTTGCAAAGATAAAGACGAATGAGTCGCAGCTGATCTGTCAAGTCAGCCAGCTCTGACAATGAATTCTACCTCCTACGTCCACGAATATATAAGTCGCGTAATCAGCGGCAAAAGTTACGAAGTCACATATATTATTGGAGATTTTAACGCAAAAATTGGCCAAGGCCGAAGATCTGACCTGGTAGGTGAATATGGACTAGGGGAGAGCAATGAAAGAGGCGATAGATTATCCCAGTTCTGTCAAGAACATGACATGATAATCGCAAATACATGGTACAAATTACACAAAAGAAGGTTATACACATGGAGGGACCAGGAGATAATTCACTACATATTATTAGAAATCAGATAGACTATATTCTGGCAAACAAGAGATTTAAGAATGAGCGTCACCAGAGTAACGACATATCCTGGTGCAGATATCGGTTCAGACCTTAACCCTGTAATAACTGACATCAAAGTGAAGCTCAAAAAAGTCCAAGAAAGCCCCAAAACACCAAAATTAAATATCTCAATATCCAACCAAACGTTGATAAAAATGACTTAAACAATGAGCTAAAGAAACCAATAAATGAAAACAACACAGAAATATGGAACACATTTAAAGATCTTACCTTGAAAGTAATAGAAAAATATTCAACAACGTTACACCGGCACAAAAAACAATAATGGATGACTGATGAAATCCTGGAATTAATGGAGCAGAGAAGAAAACTTAAAGGTAGCAAGACAGAATATAAGGAAAAACAGAAACTAATTAAACAAAAAATAAAGGTGGCTAAAGAAAAATGGATGGAGGATAAATGCAAGGAATTAGAAAAGTTGAAATGTAAAACATGATACGTTTAATATGTTTAAAAAAGTTAGAGAAGTAGCTGTTCTTTATCATAAGAAAACTCTCACATACTATAACCGATTCGTCGGGAAAAATGATAATAGACGAACATGAAATTCGAACAACCTGGTGTAATTATATAAGTGAACTGTATAATGATGATAGACCCCGAAGAACTGGAGACTTTAGTTGAAGGTGAAGGACCAGAAATACTAAAATCAGAATATTGCATGCTATAAGTAAGCAAAGAACAAGAAAGCCGCTGCCCTGATAACATACCGACAGAGATGTTAAAGCTTATAAATGACGAGAACATTGGAATTACTGGTCAAGCTTTTTAATGATGTTTATTCGACTGGTGATATCTCTGAAAGATTGGATAAAGTCCGAATTAATTACAATATTAAAAGATAAAGGAGTTGATACTTCAGACATACAATTCATAGAAAAGTTATATTGGCGTCAAAACGGCGACAGCTTGCATAAACGGAAAATCAACAGAAGTATGTAAAATCCAATGAGGTGTCAGACAGAGTTGTATACTATCCCCACTGTTATTTAATTTATATTCAGATATAATATTTAAAGAAGCGCTGCATAATTTGGAATGAGGCGTGAAAGGTAATGGAATTCTGATAAATACAATCAATATGCAGACGATACAGTTATTTTAAGTGATGACATGAATGGATTACAATGCCTTTTAAATGCCATTGATACAGTGAGAAGAGAGTTTTGGCCTAAACATAAACTGTTCAAAAACAAAACACATAGTATTTAGCCGTGTAGCACATCAAGATGTACGATTATATGTTTATGGTCATATAATTCAAGAGTGTCCAGTTTTAATTATCTTGGTTGCCATATTACTGAACAACTAGATCCATATCAAGAGATAAAATGTAGAATCGAGATATGCCAGCACGACATTTTTAAAAATGAGGTCATTCTTCTGTAATGATAACTTGCAACTTCAACTTGTAAAGCGCATGTTAAATGCTACTTTTGGTCAGTCCTCTTATACGGTGTCGAAGCATGGACATTAAAAATATCCACCATTTATCGTCTGGAGGCCTTTGAAATGTGCTGCACAGACGTATACTAAACAATTCCATGGACAGCTGTGCTGACAAATAGTGGCAGTCCTTGAGAGAGCAAATGCTGCTCGCGAGCTGCTTGATAACATCAATGTAGAATGATGGACCTATTTTGGACACCTAGTAAGAGAGACCGATATAATATTCTTCAACTATTATGATGGTAAAATCGAAGGACGCAGAGGAATTGGTAGAAAGCAGTGCTCTTGGTTGAAGAATATCAGGGAGTGGACAGGAATAAAGAAAGCTGAGCAACTCTTTAGAATAGCTCGAGACAGACGTTTCGCCATGGTAATAGCCAACGTCAAGGACTTGATTAGACACGTTAAGAAGAAGAAGAATCCCCGGCAATATTTGCGTGTTGTGGGAGTTCGTTATATAGCAAAAAGGAGGAGGGTAAAAGGCGAGTTTCGACGCCTTATAATCGGAACACACCAGGGAACCATTGCCAACCAGCACTGAGGCAGTGTGGTAAGGTACACCTCACAGGTGAACATAAATGACACATTCAAATTATTGCCCTCATTATCCTCTGCTGAGTCTGCTTAGTCTAAACCGCTACCCAAATAAAACAACAACGTTATATATAGCGACATTTCATTGCCGCTCGCTATTAAATCAATCCAGACTTCTAGAATTGGAAAAAGAAACAAAAAAAACCTAAAATAGGACGTCGTAAGAATCAGAGGAAGACGGCAAAATTAAGAGCTATTGGAATTAGTGTCAGGAATCACATTTTACTACCAAGGCACATTAACAATGATTTGAAACTGGAAAGAATAATATTAATGACAAAACCAAGAGTAACCAGTATAAATATTAACTAAAACTGTGCCAAAGACATCGGAGGCCCGCACAACAAAATCAGCATACTAAACTGTCTGATAAAACTAAAATAGAACTTAAACGAACAAGGGAAATAAAAATAAGCAGCAACTTACAAAAACAGAAAGTACAATACACAGAACTTTGAATGCTACCAAAAAACGGAAAAACTATAAGAAAATAAGAAAGACAATAATCATTGGAAAGAAGCAAATCGTTGCTCTAACAAACGAAAACATGAGCATATAGAATAGACGGTATGTGGAACTGCTGAAATAGGCTGGCCATAAAACCTGAAAAATCTTGGCAGGTATATTTACGAACTGCGTAAAATCGAGATGCATATCAGACCACTGGAATACATAATTCTCATTTATAAGAAAGGTAGCAAAGAGGATAACAAAAGCTACAGACCTATAAGACTACTATCAATCGTATACACGATATTCACAAAGATCATCAAAAACAGATTACCAAACGCATTAGAGGCTGCACAGCCCATAGAACAAAAGCAAAAAAGAGAGCTAAAGAATATGAAATACCACTAGAATTAACCTTCGTAGATTTTGAGAAGGTTTTCGATTTTATATATCCCAAGGCAGTAATTAATAGATGCTTTGATTAACCAAAGCATTGACAAACCGTACATAAACACAAAAGCTACAGTAAAAATTTATGAAAACACTTTAGAATTTTTCACTACCAGAGGCGTCCGACAATAACTGGCAGAACTAAGGAATATCCATTGATGAAGAGTACCTTAGCCATATAAGATTTGGAGACGGCATTATTCTGATTGCTAAAAATCCTGCGAACAACAAGAATTTCTAAGTGACCTAAATGCAGCTAGCAATAAAGTTGGCCTAATAATAAACTTGACAAAATAAAAACCATGTCCAAGATGTAATATTAAACAACACTACACTTGAGAGAGTGTGAATACCTGGGAAAATTCATAAAATACATAAATCTGGCTCATTATTTCCAGAAATCAAATGAAGAACTGGACATCTTTTGGTAGAAATGCAGTTATATTTAAATCAAAGATGCCAATTCACCTGAAAACGAAAGCACTCGATCAGTGTACACTACTAATCATGACATACGGCTGAGAAACTTGGAAACTAATAAA